AGGGTGCTCAGGACTCATGCCAGGTGCATGCATGTGGGTGCCCAAAATCCCAAGAGGAGACTGGAGGAGATGAGACTGCGGTGTGGCCATCCCCCAAGAGCGATTTCTCACTTTCCCTCGCTCTCTCCCTCTCTTTCTGGCAGGTGCACGCTCCCTACAGTAAAACTTACAAAGTATAAAAATAAATGTTCGTAGCTGTAGATACTATTCACACGCATGAGAAACACTGGCCCAAGCAATGAGACCTCCATGTCTCTAGTCCCAGGGGTGGTCAGTCACAAAGCCCTGCAGGCAGCTGGGCTGCACAGCGAGCACCTGAAATCTCCTCCGCGTCCTTCTTCACGCCCTCCTCGGTGGCCATGGTGACAGCAGCAGTGAGCGCCGAGTTCCACTCCAGCCCTGCCTCTTCCATGCTTTCTTCTGAGATGGCGATCTGGGTGATGCTACCTAAAAGCAGCCAATGAGAGGCAAGGCCAATGAGCACCATGGAAAACCGGAAAGCCGCAGCCGCCCGGCACCTCGCACAGCGGCGGACTCCCGGTACGCCAACGTTCTGCCTCTTGCCTGCAGGTCTGGATTTTAAAAACGAGACTCCTAGGGGCTAAGAGGTGGAATGGTGGTTAAAGACACTGGACTCCTACACGGTCGAGTGCAATTCGGGTCCCAGTTTGCTTTCTCACTCCTTCTCTCTGATGAGTGCAGTGCTCTATAGCAAATTTTAAAACATCACTAATGAATAAAATTTAAAATTAAATCATTCTTTAAGGGGCTGGCAGGTGGTGTGGTAGAACAGCACATGGCTGAAGTTCGAGTCCCTGACCTGGCAACTTGCTTTGTGCTTCTCACTTTCCCTTTCTTTAGTCAGATTAAAACAACTAAATAATAAGGGCCGACAGATGGCGTAATGGCCACATCACTGGACTCCCACGTAGTCAGCTGTGGTTTGAGTCCTGGACCCGGTGGCTTAAAATTCATACTGAGCACGCGAGCATGCATGCCCCAAATTCTGAGGAGAATGGAGGAGAAGCGATGGGCGTGTGGCCATCCCCCCACTTTCTGTCTGTCTCTCCAGCAAGCACATATGCCCTACAGCAAAAATCTCTTTGGACCATCAGATGGCACAATGGTAATGCCATTGGACTCGTATGTAGTTGGCTGTGGTTCAAGGCCAGACGGGTGGCTTGAACTCACACCAGGCTCATGTGCATGCGTTCTCAAAATCCCAAGAGGAGAACGTAGGAGAAAGGACTGTGGTGTGGCCATCCCCTCTGGGAAGGGGTAATTTCTCACTTTTTGTCCCTCTGGTGAGCAAATGTGCCCTATAACAAAAAAATCGCTCTTTAAAAAAAAAAAAAAAAGACTATAAAAATAACTAAGTAAATAAATAATAAATAAAGTTCATGAAAAAAAAAAAAACGAAAAATTACCCTTAAAAAAATAAAAATAGGGACCAGCAGATGGCGTAATGGTTACATGGCTGGGCTTCCACAGTCAACCAACCGCAGACTGAGTTCCGGACCCAGCAGCTTAAAACTCATGCCAGGCACAGCAGAGACTAAAGAAGGGACTGCAGCATGGCTATCCCCCGGGGGTGATTTCTCACTGTCTCTCCGCCCCTACAGCCAGCCCACATGCCCTATAGCAGAAACCTACCTAAAAAAAAAAAAAAAAGACACCTTTGTAAGCTAGGATGAACGCTGAACTTTCTAAGGAAAAACTGCCTTGGGGGCCAGGAGGTGGCATGGTGGTTAAGGGTGCTGGACTCTCACATGGCTGGACAATG